TTAATAACAACATTGGTTAGAAGCTGAGTCGAGCCTAGTTTGACTTTAAGAAATGGCGGAAGTAGGCTGGCTATCTGCAATTATGATTATCTAAGCCTGATTCTACGCCTGGTGCTTTGCCACAAACAAAGGCCGACATAAACTGAGACAATCCCTTATCTTACCAACACATCAGTCAATTTAGTTCAGGTTAGCTAATACAAGAAAATATTACTCCACTATATATAACAGCCACACTACATAAAGCTTATCCCCTAAATATACGCAATTAAAATGTGCTGCTCAGCATCCAAAAAGGCTAGGCGCATCACCGCCCTCTTAAGGATAATTAGTTAGGCATATAGAGGACTTCTCTAAGCACAGGCAGGTTTAAACAGCCCTCCATCTATAATTCGCATAAATGCTTAGATTTTGCATGTCCCTCACGCTAATGCAAGCTATAGAAGGCAAGGAAATGGACAAGAAAGAGCGATAGTTGCCTTGTTGGAGCTGGTAGAAGGCCGCCCGTTATCATCGCACCACCATATCATGCCTTACTAGTTGCGATAATTACAGGGACGAGACGGGCTTACAACTTTACCTATAGGTTTTAGAACCTTATTCGAATTGGAATCTCTATGCATTCATTCTAACACAGCACCACGAGAGAAAATTGGCATCCCAGTATGCAAGCCTGACTACCCTTTCTACTTCCTTACTCCCAGTGCACCGTAGGCAGTGCAGGTCTGTGCATAAGAAGTAGAAAACGGAGGACTTCTAGGGCACCGAGACGTCTTTCCATCGCCTTGTGTGAACAGTACAGAAAGCTAAGAGGCGGCCGAGTGGTGCGCTGCATTTACTAACGCGCACGCCCATGCCTTTTTTCCTCTACTAAATCTTACATACTATGTACTTTCAGGCAAGCTTCAGGCCGCTCCAGCAAGCTAAACACCTGGATTGAGGTATGTTTTAGATCTAGTTTAACGAGGCCTCCTATATTATTTACGCATGTTCTTCAAGTTTACACCCTTTAGTTCAACACCGTTCCACTTACTCTAAGGAGCGGCCGACAAAAAGACAACACGTCGATGCCTCAGGCAACCATTCAACAGGCTAACTCATGGTAGCAGACATGTCCAGCTACTACTCTAGCAAAAGCTACAAGAAGCCCTCCGACTCTGCTTCCGACCATATAGAACATCACTACAATAGTTCAGTACCTCAGCTTCACATCAGTACTTCAAAACAGACAGAACCATGGAATCTGTCACAGCAACCACGAATCGTGCAAGATATGAAAGAACAGGCATACAGCCCAGCTACGTCAGTACATACCACGAAAACTACTTCCAGTACGCTGCTACCACAGAGAATAATCCGTCATCACTCAGATCTGTCTGTGGCACACAACAGTCTCAGTCTCGGTCTACAGAGTAGCTCATCTTTGCTCACTCCCAGCTATAGTCCCTCTACATTCAACTTACCTACACAAGAAGGAACATGGAGTTCGTTCAATCTCCGAAGCGCTGAAAATAGACAGCCCCACTATTTATCGCGCCAGTCTAATGTTAAACCATCACGCTATCCCCACAGTGGAATTAATAATAAAGGCTACTTCTCAGTCAGAACAAGCCAATCAGCACTTAGCAATGAGGCTGACTTCTCAAGCCAAAGTTTGCCATTAGATTTCTACAGCCTAATTAAAAACACGAATGTTAAATCTATAGCTAGTATTGCAACAATAGTATCAACTATACCCTTAGATCAAGAGTCTCGTGTTAGCAGCACGCGTAGCCGTAAATCAAGAAGTAAACCAATCAAGTGTGATCATGCCGGATGTAATAAGACACCTAAATGTGATTCTACGTACAAGTGAGTACGTTTCGGCTCCATAAATACCGGCAATGCTGAATTCTGAACAGGAAGCATCAGCTCAAACACGAAAAGTCATTCACGTGCAACGTGCCCAAATGCAAAAGGGCTTCACAAGGATTTACCACATCAAACGATCTAGATCGACACAAGAAGAGTGTTCACCAAGTAGATTTCAACAAAGGATCTTACAGGTATATAGGCAAAGATTGTAAGGATAAGGAAAAAACATAGCCGCGTCTGGACAATTTCAGAAAGCATATTCAACGAATACATCAAGACGAAGATGAGACAGATGTGATTAAGAAGTAATATTCTGCGTTCAAATGTTTAATCTAGCAAACTGACGTTAGTAGATCGAAGTAGAACCCTGAAAAGCAACCCTCTTTAATAAACCAAGAGTCTGCAGACGCACACATAGACGCCAGCTTAATGTTAGCTGGCATGGATAAGTTCTTCCCACTCAGCCCAACGATGGGCAATTCATCTCCTCTCGATCTTTCAATGAAACACGACCATATGGACTTTCTGAAACAAGTTCGTCGCCAATACCTAGCACCGAGGCTATCCTTAGCTCAGCAAACACAAATTCCTCCCCTTACCCAAGTGTCCGCGGAGATCGCACCGAGAGAAACCCTTTCCCAGGCTGCTCTATCGGATATAGATTACGGGTTCTCCAATGCACCTCAGACAAAGGCCGAGCAACAAAAAATAGCACAGAAAAAGCCCACTGCCGTGTCTTCCCCTTCTAGTACTATAGATATTGGTCATATTCTGGACGTCCTACAGCAAGGGAGTAGTTCAGCAAAACGAGTTAATACATCGGCTGAAAACGTACAGCCAGGTTCGGACACTCAATCTAACACGGATCTAGTAGTCTTGACTAGACGTGATGCTTTAGAAATCATCAAGTTTATCACACAGAGCACAAACATTGCTCAGGCGGCGCCATATAAGGCTAGAAAAAGTCAGACAACAGGTCTGAAAGTCTGTCCGCGTCCTGAATGTGGATATGCCTTCAATCGGGAATGTGATTTGCGGAGACATATGAAACGGCATAAGAAGCCTTACGGCTGCACATATCCCAGGTGCCACAAGCGCTTTAGCGCGAAATCAGATTGGAAACGCCACGAAAACAGCCAACACTTCCAGCCTGAGGTGTTCCAATGTGCTTTTAAACTATCTCCCGGTGCGATTTGTGGAGTTTATTCACCTCAAAAGGAAAAATTCGAAATCTACTTGAAGATATATGGCGTTTCTTCTCCCGAAGCCGTAGAGACTCTGAACACACGCAGTAAGATTGGGAAGGATTGTTAAGGGTCCTTTTGGTGTGGCTTCTGCAAAAATATTGTTGAGCTTAAGACGAAGCTTAATGTAGTATGGGACGAACGGTTTGATTATATAGTAGAGCACTTGGAACAAGATGATAAAAAGAGCATTAGAGAGTGGATATGTGTCGAGCAGAACAAAACCAAGAAAGAATTAGGAGAAGAGAGGATGCAAAATGATGGCGAGGATGAAGAGAGAGGAAGGAATAAGGACTTCGTATTGGTTGGAGGGGATTATGATTGCGATAATCCGCTTCCGCCTTCATCTCCCCGACTAGAACACATACCTCGGACCCTAATATTGATAGGTGAAAGCTTATCACAATTAATTTCCCCATTTTTTAGTAATGAGGGCAACAGAAAGCGACCTGCACCTAACAATACTAATGACCTAGATCTAAGAAGCCAGCAAAAGAGGAGAATAAACACTATTACCAACAGATATTGTGTATATACACGGTACGCCACGTCCATACTTTGTTATTAATAGCTAATCGTAGAGCAGTGCTCGTGTCAAAGTGGACCATGCAACTCACTTCAACCTTCATATCTAGAATGCAACCATACACTGTGTTGGAGTTGTGAGTTGGTCACAGAGAAGTTTGTGATGGTGGATTCAATGGAACTTTACCAACTAGTATAGTTTTTACTACTTATAACAGAAGAATCTTTTGAAACTTAATTAATTATATATATCTAACTCAATCTTTTCATAGTATAACATTTGTTATGGGCGGAGAGGCCTAGCGAACGAGTATGCTTCTACCTATCGTACAGAAGCTAAAAGATGAGGAAAAG